TCCCCTCCCTGACCCGCCACGAGTCCCCGTGCTGGGCAGGGCGAGCCTTTGGCTGGGAGTCTTGTCTCTTTTTTTGGTGAGGTCTTTTTGCCTCTTTGCTTTCCTTTTGCCTTTTAGGGTCTTGTCTTTTAGGCTGCAGTCGCGGGCCTCCCACCCTTTGGCATAACTGAGTGTTGACGTGCCAAGCGAGGGCTACAGGCTCCAGCAGCACTTGTCTTGGGGGAGGGAGGTGTCACCTGCCATCTGCCCTCCCAGGAGCCCTTAGAAGGTGAAATGGCAACTAGGGAATTTTCCAGAAGAAGAGACAACTTTGACATGTATTAATGCAAAGGGGGGGGGGAGTAATAAAATCTCTCATGCAAAAAACTCACAGCCTTAGTAGTACTATCTTAATAATGCTACATGTCCTCGAATTTTATATACCCAAAGGTTTTCCACCTGCCCTCAGCCCTCCCCCTTCTTGCTGCTTGCCAGCTGCATCCCTGAGTAGGAATTACTGACCAAAACAAAATAGTGCAGTTTGTTTCCCCTGTATAGAAATTAGGAGGGCTGATAGTTTAATAAACTGAGTAGATACTGTACTCTAATGGCAACATAGTTTATAAAAATGTTAGGAATTTTTTAATGCATTTTTCCTTGAGGAAAATATTATCCCAATAATTCTTTTTTTTTCTTTTTGAAAGTTAATATTATAACAACCTTTTTTGTGCCTTTTTAATGAATTAAGCTTAAGAATAACTCATTGAAGTCAATAAAACTGCATGCATGCTATGTTGTTTATACACAACATTTGCAGTCAGTGACAAAATGCATACTTCCAATGAAACTCGGAGTAGGACTTTATTTCTCTTGTAGGAAAAATGACACAAATACAACGTTATCAAGAGTAAGGGTGTTCCACTTTAACCTTTGCCAGAAATGCATACAAGGTATAGAGAGTCCCGACCTTCCAGCCTTGAATTTCCTATATCCTTCTCTCCAAGGATAAGAAAGATCATAAGATGACCGTATGCATGCAGTGGAATCCAAATTGAGCATGCCCTTGAGCTGCTTGTCTGGGAAATGTTTCTGTGCAAGATATTTTAATATTACGATAGTAATTTTGGACTTTGTTTGTTCCTCCTCATGGCTATAGATTTTGCAGGTGTCTAAGGCTGTCTGTTAGTAATTTGATTTAAAGGAAGAAAAAGCTATGAGAAGTTTCAGAGAAAATGTTTATTCATTAAGATTTGAAAGAAGATTCTTGTCCAGTGGCAAAGAGTATTAAACAATCATCTGTGTACTCTCCAGTGTGGCAGAAATTTGGCTGAGTACAAAAAAATCCTTGTCTTCAGGAAAGCTCTTGGAAATACCTGTATAAAATCACTGAAGACTATATTTCTTACAATTCTGGACTGGAACATTGAACTGAAATGTATTTCTAAGGACATAAAACACTTTTAAGAGCCTTCCTTGCTTAAACACTAACATGCATTTTGCATAATACTATTTCTGAGTATATGAATTATATGTGGGGCATGGCATATAAGCTAATTGTAAAATGATAAATTCAAGCCTAACAATTTCTAACAAACTTTTAAAGGTTACGTTTCAAACTTTTTTTACTGTAGCAGGTAAACGTCTTTCCTGAGCATCTTCCTCTCATGTGGCTGGACAACTACATAAAATGGAATCAACGCAGTTACTAGAGTATAGCTGTTTTTGTTAATACAGCATAAAATATATTTCTGAAACAGTTGGCTTTTCCCCCTGAACTTAAACCTAGGTTTTGCTTTTTATACTTTCAGCAGTAGTAAACATAAGGTTCTCAACAGCATAGGCCGATCAAATAGTGCATTAGTTTCAACAGACTTGTAGACAGCTGTACTGAAATGTGTTTATTTAAAAATAAAGCTATAATTAGTGAAGTTGAATGTTTTTAGTCTTACTTCTTAAGGACAATGATGCTTATACATTCTTTTTCTGTCTGGCTATATGTACTGCCTAGTAACTTTAAAACCCATCAGCCAACTGTGGCTGAAGCTGGCAAAGGGCAGAGGCATAGGAAGATAATAAATTCTATTATTCTTTATAAAAATCAACAGCTGAATAGAAAACAGATTCCTAAACTAGTGTCCGCATCTGAGGGAAGGTTTGAAATGTAAGCTGAACAGCTACCTGTTTGTCTGGCCAGTCGGCACACATACTGACAGGCAAATCGGCTTGCCTGTGCCAGAAATCCTACAGCCTTCACTCAACCAAAATGTCGTGGACATGAAAAAGAACAGAAGCAATGTGGAGGGGGTGTTAAGAGACATGGCGAAGAGAAGTAGAGGTATTACTAACTGAAGTTTTAATTACTGTCATTAGGGAGTAGAAGACCACAGGAGACTAGGAATAACAGGGAGGAAGAGGATGACCAAAAGTCAGGTGTGATGTGGTTGGCAAGCAAAGTGCCCGGGGCAATGTGAACAGAAGTGAGCTTGTAATCAAGGAAATAGTGCTGAAGTGGAGTCATCCCAAGCGTATCACAGAATCACAGAATGGCTGAGGTTGGAAGGGACCTCTGGAGATCATCTAGTGGTGACTGAGTTCAGAAGGTTGTGATCAGCAGCATGTAGTCCAGCCTGAGGCTTGTGGTGTCCCCTAGGGGTCGATACTGGTGTCAATACTGTCCCGCAGGGGTCAATACTGGGGGCAATACCGTTTAATGTCTTCGCTAATGACCTGGATGAAGGGACAGAGTCATCCTCAGCAACTTTGCAGATGATACAAAACTGGGAGGAGTGGCTGATACACCAGAAGGTTGCGCTGCCATTCAGAGGGGCCTAAAGAGGCTGGAGAAATAGGCAGAGAGGAACCTCAGGGAGTTCAACAAAGGGAAGTGCAAAGTCCTGCTCCTGGGGAGGAATAACCCCACACACCTGCACAGGCTGGGGGCTGACTGCCTGGAAAGCAGCTTGGCAGAAAAGGGCCTGGGGGTCTTGGAGGACAACAAGTTCAACATGAGCCAGCAATGTGCCATCACAGCAAAGAAGGACAATGGTATCCTGGGCTGCATTAAGAAAAGGGTTGCCAGCAGGATGAGAGAGGTGGATCCTTCCCCTCTACTCAGGCCTGGTGAGACCTCACCTAGAGTGCTGTGTCCAGTTCTGGGTTCCTCAGTATAGGAGAGACACAGACTTACTGGAGTGAGTGCAGCAAAGGCCCACAAAGATTTTTAAGGGTCTGGAGCATCTCTCATACGATGAGACACTGAGACGCTCTCACATGATGAGAGACTGAATACTATTTAGCCTGGAGAAAAGAAGGCTCAGGGCAGATCTTATCAGTGTTGATTAATATCTTATGGGAGGGCGTAAAGAAGACAGAGTCAGACTCACTGGTGCCCAGTGACAGGACAAGAGTCAATAGGCACAAACTGAAACACAGCAAATTCCACCTGAACATAAGAAGAAAACATTTTTACTGTGAAGGTGGTCAAACACTGGAACAGGTTGCCCAGAGAAGTTGTGGAGTCTCCATCTTTGGAGGTATTCAAAATCCAACTGCACGTAGTCCTGGGCAATCTGCTGTAGGCGACCATGCTTAAGCAGGGGGACTCGTTAGACAATCTCAAGAGGTCCCTCCCAACATCAACTATTCTGTGGTTCTGTGACCAGGCATCATTATTTTTGCTGCTCAAGAATAGTTTTAGTAAATATGTAATTCCCTCAGTTCCAAAGTTTTGTCCGCATATCAAACTTACTCTGAAATAGGTGTATTCTGGAATAACTCTGCATGTTCATATTTTTATTCTGGAAATGGTTTAGGTGAGACAGGTAGCTGGAATAATTATGCAAAGCCCTAACCTTGCATGCAGTGTTTCAAGTTCTTGGACTTGTTCTGCTGCATGACAACTACTTGACAACACATCTTGATTCTTGATTTAGGATGGCAGGACCTAATACAGGCATGAGCAACAAATAATACATTCAAAGCTAAGCCAAATTTTCTTCCTTAAGCCGCCCAAGTTCGAGAAGCGTTGTACCGGAGTTCTTTCCCTGCAGTGTCCTCTTCGCAGCATCCTTCCGGTGGGGGAGCATGCAATCTTCATTAGGTAGTTGCCATTACCTAGTTTTGTTCCTTCTTCCATCTAATCCCTGTTGGTTCCCCTCATGCTGACTGTTGACCGTAGATACATTTCATGT